TGTTTGTTATTTGTTATTCAGACAAATAAAGAGTTGTCAAAGAAGTGAGAGGAGTTGAATAAGAGAGGTCATATCTCTTAAGTACATCTGCGATCTGATCCAAAGGTAACTGCAGACTTTGGAAGTAGGTTCCCTGGACTCACCTAAACTTTGGATCAAGTCCTCAATGTAAATGAAAATCCCAAGCTACCAGAAGATAAAGGATACCACATCCAAACTGGTGATTTCTAGATTACATCAAGCAACGAAATAGCATGACCACTGTGAGTGGTGAATGTCCTCGATAAGGCTAATGGAGAATTCAGGACCTAATGCTACTGAGGGTGGTTCTTTATGTATTCCATTTGCCAGGTAACCTTTAAAAGACTAGAGATTGCAAAGCTAAGCTGATAAAGATCTCCTCTCAATGTTACAGGAGGATGGCGTATTGCTACCATAAAGTATAATTTTTCAGTCACCAACAAGGCAGCTGTAACATTGCTTCAGATCCTGCTTTTGGTAGAAAAAGCAAGAGATAAAGATGATAGAAAGCATGGGATATTTTTGCAAGGAAAAGATGCATGCTCTAGTATGTGGCTGTTCCACACAGCATACAGTTTAGCAACCAACATGCGGTAGCTACAATTCTTTCCACAAGCCTGAGAACCAAGAAACAGCCATCATATCCTTGAATTTTACCTGAAGACATTGTTTAAGTGGCTATGACACATAAACTTACTAGGACAACCACACCATCTCTGGCTCAGGAAGTTCCTGAGTCTCAAAACGTTGGAACCCAGAGAACGTAGTAAAGGAAGAGAGAAAATAAATAAATCAATCAATTCGTCTTTGCTTGCCCCGTTCTTATATTCTTCCCAAGGCACTTACTGCTGACCACTGTCTGTGTGGCTAAATAGACCTGGTTGCAAAAGAACGGATCACCATCATAGCTTTATAGATGAAAGTTCAATGTTCTTTTGGTTTCTCCAAGTTCTTAGTAGGGATATTATAGCTTTATTTATTTATTTATTTCCCTGCAAGTCACCACACAAGTTCCTGTTCCCCTTCGAAAATCCTGTGACCTGGATTCCCTTGCCTCAGCACGACCATGTCCTCCCATCTGGGAACACTGGGGAAGAAAGATATCTACCATTTCATAATGGTCTCGGAGAAACGCAGATGCAATTGTTACTGATACTTAAAATTTTTGGTAATTAACGTTTGATCAATAGTTTTAATTACAAACTAGTTAGTAGTTGATTTTAATAATATAGAATTATAAGAAATTTTCTAATGAAAAGTGTGCTCGTATAGTAAACACATGCTGCTATGAAACTGCTGCTATGGAACTCTTGTATAGCCCTGTACCAGGACCAAAGGGATCGGTTAGAATCATCTAGTAAGAACATGTAGTAACATGTAGTACAAAGCACAAGTTGATTTGTAAATTGATTTATGATACCTATATAGAACTAGAGGAATGCATGTAGCTATCAAGGTCTAGATTAATGAAGATGGGGAAAGCCAACCCTAACGGTTTCATAATGGTTTATGGGTACCTGCCAGGAACCGTGAACTTAAGCAAAAGGTAATTCCGGCAGGGGGAGATCGCGACCACCGAATCACAGACCACCTACCTATATTGCACCCCAGACTCATTTCTAGATGATTCTAACTTTGATGGCACAGAATCAGAAATGGGAGGAGAATATGCTAATGATTTTCGGGAATTTATATGTTTATGTATGATTTCCTAATGGATTTGCATATGTCAGCTCTATATAAGAAGTTTGACTTCGGTGCAAGGGGCGCACGCTAGGAGGAGATATCCCCCGTGCACCCGGCGCCGCAATAAAGAAGTGTCTGCTTATCTACATCCCATTGGTGTTGATAAGTTTCTTATTCCAGATTTTCGGTAACACAATTACTTAATTAAATTCCCATTATTGTCCCTCCTGCCCTAAACTTTACTCACAGCCCAAAGCACAAAGCAAGCCAGTAGAAAGCAGACTGGAACAGGCATTAGCATTTATGCAGTTAAATGCACTGGTAAGATTCTTACTGATTTCAGCAATGCGCCTTCCTACCACAAACACTACGATGGCTTCAAGATTTCTAAAGGAAAAAGAGACAATATTACAGCGGGGATGAATCCACAGTTCTGTCCGAATGAAGGGGAAACTCAGAAAAAGGTCAGGAAATGAAAGCAGTAGGTCAGAGGGTGAGCTTATGACGCAGAGCCCAGAAAAGGAAGTGATTTGCCTTGCTCAGCTCTACTTGGAGAAAGGATCCTTCTGAAAACACTCCGCAGCTTGCAGTATGCTGTTACCATCAAACATTAAAACGAGAATAAATCTTTAAGGGGAAAAAAATGGTGATTTATGCCATTTGAAGATCCAGAATGCTTATATTTAAAATAGCATTTTAAATGTTATTTTAATGCTATTTTAAAGGGAAGAAGCCTTTCTGAAGCAAACTTAAGTCAGTTCACCCAAAGAGCACAGCGCAGAGGCGAGATACCAGCACCCACCAGAAAGCAGCCCGTGGGCTTATCAACCCAAAGCACCAACTCAACCCCCAAGCACCCCACCCTAACAGCAGCAAGTTATCAGCACATGGCACAAACTGATAAACTTCCCATCTGCGTGAACTTCGAGATAAGGGGCTCTCGTAAAAAGGCGCCCAGCTCACACCGAGTGTTAACTGGAGGGGCTGGAGGAGGGGTGGGGGGGG